AAAGCTCTTTTGTTGTATTTTTTAATCTCGTTATTTGAAATATATATGGTCCAAAACAATATCATTCCATCATATATCACTTGATTATTTTCCTTTCCAAAAAATTAAAGTAATCAGTCACTTTATTGAATAATACAAAAGGGCAGGAGAGGCTTGGTAGAGGATCGGGGGCTGAGGGTCCAGTGCGCGGGCTCCCCACCGCAGGTGGGGGCGGGGGAGGCAGCGTCCGGGGTGCAGAGGGGCGGTGAAGGCTGCTGGGGGTGGGCGTCCGGACCCAGCGCGGGGGGCCGTGGGGGCCCGGGGGCTTGGGGGGGCCCGGGGACGCCCTAACTCCCGCTGCTCAGCATCCCCAGCAGCTTGCTGGGCTCCAGGCCCTGCTGCTGCGCCAGGGCCTGCACGTCGAAGCCCATGTGCATGAGGAACTGGGCCACGTTCATCTCCTGCCCCGTGAACTGGTCGCGGATGGTGGGGCACGAGGGGTTGCAGTGGGGCCAGGAGCAGCTGTCCACCAGGTGGACGGGGCAGCCCTTCAGCGGGGCTTTGCTGCCCTTGTGGCCCTCGTGGAGGCTCCTGTCCCAGCAGTGCAGCGCCCGCGGGAGTGAGGTCCCCTTCACCTGCACCTCCGTCCAGTGGCTGTGGAGAGAACCCGGGCGGGTCACTCGTGGGCGGGGGGCGGGGGTGGCGGCCGAAGCAGGAGACAGCCCGCTACCACCGGGTTCCTGCCTCACGGCCGGCCGCTTGTCTGAGTGGCTTGGGAGGCAGGCGTGCGGGCAGGGGGGCGGGAGGGGGTTGTGGGTTCAGGGCGAGAGGGAGGGGTCTGAGCCAGTCCAGGGAGAGGGGCGGGCAAGGGGCGAGGGGCGAGGGCGAGGGCAAGGGCGAGGGGCACTGACCTTTCCAGGATGATCTCATGGGACAGGCAGGCGGGCGCGAAGCTGGCCCTGTGCGGGCGGGACAGACGCCCGTGAGCAGCCGCCCCACCTCCGCCCCTTCCCCACCCGATGCCCACGGTCGGTCACTGCCCGGGAGCCTGTCCCCTGCCCGCCTCCACCTCCTGGCTTTGCTGTGCCCGCCGGCCCGCTGCTCCTCGGCCCAGGCCGTCCCACCCGCCCGTGTGTTCCCTGCGAACCCTCGTCCCTTCCTGCCTCCAGATCCGCCAGGAAGGGCCCTGGACACAGAGGCCTGGAGGCAAATGTTGCGCCTTTTTTTTTTTTTTTTAAATCTGGGCCTTCCCTTTGCCCAAATACATGCTGTTCTTATTTGTGTATTGATTGGTGACCCTGAGAGGGGCGGGAGGAGAGAAAGAGACGGATCTATCGTCCCACTTATTGGTGCTCTCGGTTGATGCCTGTGTGTGCACCCCAACGGGCATCGAACCCGCAACCTGTGTGTCAGGAGATGCTCTGACCCACTGAGCACCTGGCCAGGGCTGCTACTTTTCAAACAACAGGTTTCATTTTTCAAGAAGCTTCTATTCACAGTAAAACTGAGGGGACTGCCCGGCCAGTGTGGCTCAGTGGTTGAGCATCAACCCATGAGCCAGGCGGTCACGGTTCGACGCCCGGTCGTGTCCCCGGGTCTGCGTGCACCCGCGGGCTGGTCCTCGCCCACGGCGGGCACCGCGGCCCCCGGAGGCCTCTGCGTGTCAGGCGAGTGGCCGCTGCCTAAGGAGGGCCCGGAACTCACGCCACGTCCTTGAGCGTCTGCCGCACCTCCCGGCCCACGTTCTGGATGTACAGCCACTGGCCCTCCTGGACCGGCTGCCCCGTGAGGTGTACGTTGTCCACGGTCAGCTGGGCCTCGTCGAACAGCCACTGCACCACGAACACGGGGCCTGGGGGGCACGGCTCAGCTGGGCCTCTCGCCGGGACGGCCACCCACCCCAGGCTCCGGCCCCCCAGGTCCGGGCCAGCTGGCCTGGCCCCTCAGATGCTGGCCGCCAGCCCCCCTCAGCCCGGCTGCCCCATAGCACCCACCCTTCCTCCAAGAAATGCCTTGTTAGGCTCCCCCAGCCACCATCTTGGCCTGGCTCCCGGACGCCCTTCTACTGAGACTTGGTGATGAGGTCCCTTTGCAGGGATCTCACTCCCACGCCCCGCATGTGGGGCGGGGGAGGGGCAGCCCAGGCCCTGGGAGCCGACCGATCCCCGCCCCCACCTGCACCCCGTCCCGGTCTCCCCACCGGAGTGGGCTCAGTGCTAAGACCAGGAGAGTCCCAGGAGAACCGGACGGGTGGGTCGCCCCACTCCGGTCTGGGCCTGGCCTCTGGGGCCGGACTCCAGGCTGGAGTCAGGAGGTGCAGGAGGTCCCCCACCCCTGGGTGCCCCGCGAGCCCCAAGCTGGGCACTCACAGCGCAGCGTCGGGTAGACCTTGTAGCCGAAGAAGCAGTTCCACTCCTCGCCCTCCTTGAACTGGCGCCGGCAGCGCTCTGGGACCACCCCGTTCCAATACCTGGGCCACAGCTGCCGGTCAGGCTGCCCCGGGCCCCACCGGGGCTCCCACAGCCACAGAGGACACCACTCCTCCCGCCCTCTGCCCGGGACCCCGCCGGCCCGGCCGCCCTCCCGGCACCTGATGCCCCGGCGGATGGCGTCGGTGGGCGCACAGGTGGCCGTGTCCACGCAGTCCGTGTGGTGGTACTGCTCGTTGTCCAGGAACCAGCCCGAGTCCACCAGGCCCCGCACCTGAACGGCGGGGTGGCCCAGCTCCTGCAGCTGCTCCGCCACGCGGTCCACGTTGAGCAGCACCCCAAGGCCGCCCGCGCTGCAGGGACGGGGACGTGAGGCCGGGCGACGGGGGCGCTCAGCCCCGGAGTCCGCCTGGCCCCGAGCCTGGCCCCGGGAGGGCAGGGAGCCTGATGCTTCTGCACAACTGCCACCACAGTCCCTGTTCCACCCGCCCCGCCCCCCACCCCCCCACCCCGCCTGTCCCCGAGGCTCCCAGGCCCTTTCCCGCGGGCCTTCGGGTCCTGGAGTCGGGGGAGGGGCTGGCAGGCTCCAGGCGCTGACCCAGCGCTAAGGGCAGGCCGCCCACTTCCTCCCTGTCCTCCTTCCCCTCTCTCTCTCTCTCTCTCTCTCTCTCTCTCTCTCTCTTCACCTAGGTTTCCTTATCTGAAAGTAGAGGGCCCGGCCGGTGTGCTCAATGGTTAAACCAGGAGATCACGGTTCCATTCCCGGTCGGGGCACAGGCCTGGGTTGTGGGCTGGATCCCCAGTGGGGGGCGTGCAGGAGGCAGCCGATCAGTGATTCTCTCTCATCATGGATGTTTCTATCTCTCACTCCCTCTCCCTTCCTCCCTGACGTCAATAAAAATATAAATAAGTAAATGAAGAGGCTGTGTGTGGCCTGTCCTTCACCCATCACGCCGATGCCCCCAGGGGGCCTGCACGCCTCCTGGGACAGTGACCAGCCATGTGCTCCCTGCCCCGTGGATCCCAGCCTCGGAGAAGGTGCACGGTCCACAGCTAATGCTGACCACCCCTCGGTCACTGCGGTCCAGGGCTCCCCTCGTCCACTCCACGGGGTCCAGAGCTTCCTCTAGACCAGTGGTTCTCAACCTTCCTAATGCCGCGACCCTTTAATACAGTTCCTCATGTTTGGTGACCCCCCCAATCATAAAATTATTTCCGTTGCTACTTCATAACTGTAATGTTGCTACTGTTATGAATCGCAACGTAAATATCTGATATGCAGGATGTATTTTCATTGTTACAAACTGAACATAATTAAAGCATCGTGATTAATCACAAAAACAATATGTAATTATATATGTGTTTTCCGATGGTCTTAGGCGACCCCTGTGAAAGGGTCATTCGACCCCCAAAGGGGTCTCGACCCACAGGTTGAGAACCGATGCTCTAGACCAGTGGTCGGCAAACTCATTAGTCAACAGAGCCAAATAGCAACAGTACAACGATTGAAATTTCTTTGGAGAGCCAAATTTTTTAAACGTAAACTATATAGGTAGGTACATTGTTATTAATTAGGGTGCTCCTAAGGCTTAGGAAGAGCCACACTCAAGGGGCCAAAGAGCCGCATGTGGCTCGTGAGCTGCAGTTTGCCGACCACGGCTCTAGACAGTTCCCAGCTGCAGTGGATGCCTGCCCAGGGCTGCAAGGCTGGACCCCACCTG